GCGCGCGCGCACACACACACACTGCAAATCTCTCTTAGCTCCCTATCACTCAAGGCTTGCCTACTCTGGGCCAGCTATGGACATGCTGGCATGAGCTGACACCATAACTCCACAGTCTCCTGGAGAAGGGAGAGAGACTGGGGAGGTCTGACAGGCTACATGAAAGCTTTGCCTTCCTCGTTCATCCAGGCCTGGGGACCACTAAGTCCCTGAAACCCTGACACTTCCAACCATCCACGTTGCTGGTGGCAACCTCCTTGACGGGCAGCACTTAGCCAGACTTTGGAACCATCCCCATTCTCCTCTCATTGTTGGACCATGTCGTACTTGCAAGCCCTCCTTATTCCTGTCCATCTGGCTTGTCCCCCTCTCGTGTTACCCATCTACCCAAGGTCTCAAGTTCTCATACCTGCTGTCCCAAGAAGGAACAAGTATCAGAGGCCCTGGTGCAGGTGGGATCCAGCTCTGGTGCCTCGCTTGCACAGAACTCTTTAAATATTACATACACAGCAAATGAACAAAAAATTTAAAAACAGTGCATTGAGACAAACACCTGTAGGTCCCACCACCTAGCTGAAGACAAAGTCAGCTGCATTTCCAAACTATAGACAGAGGCTATAGACAGAGGTAACTTTTAACTTGTGTAGACTTTTCTAGGTGTGTGCTTGTGCCTACCTGGGTCACATCACCTCTTCTGCCCTCTCTACCCAGGCGTCCAGGGCTATTTTGAGTGTGTACCAGTTGGGGTTAATCTCCTTAATCGTTGAGCCGTGCTGTCTCATGTGCTCCCAAAGAGCCCAGCTATCTGCAAAGGGCATTCTGAGGGTTGGTGCCACAGCCTTGGACCTTCCCATCCATGCAGGGAGCCCAGGGGCATAGAGTTGAGTCAAGGCTGAAGGAAGGGGCTGTGGAGGCTGAGGGCCAGCAGTAAGTTCCTCAGAGTCTCAAGTTAACCTCTGGGGAAAACCTCAAAGAGCTTCCTCCACCCCTTAGCTCAGCTGCCCCGGCCCCTGACCCTGGTTTCATGCAGGTGCTAATCCTGGGCCCCTGTCACCCTAGGGAGAAGGACAAGGAAGGTAGGCCGAGGGGTCCTCCCCCACATTTGGGAAGGGAAGAGAATAAGAGTTGACCTGTTGGGATCTGGTCCCTGAAACACGAGACAAGGACTGCTCCACTCCACTGCTGGCATACGCACTGGCTTGGAGCTCTGTCTTCCACCTGGTCTCAGGGAGAACTCCCAGAGGACCAGGGAGAAGACTGGCTGCCAGATCCACCCCATTTATAGGCGGGATGAGAGCCCGCCTCCATCCAGCCTTTCCTGAATCCCCTGCTAATGGAAATTCATTTCATAAGCAGCTGGTATCTTCTGTGTGGAGGCCTTATGTAAGTAAGTATTTGCCTCATGATCACAGATGCTGGTGAGGAAAACAGCCAAGAAAGCAGAAAATCACAGAAATGAAATATAAAATAATAATAATAAAAGAGGGGCAGGGGGTGCAGCTTCACAGCAAGACAGACATTGGCATGCTCAAGGCCCTGGATTTGGTCTCCATCACCATGGGGGAAAATGAGTCAGCAAGAGGAAAACTGCTGGCTTGCAAACCTGACAACACGAGCTACATCCTTTGGAACCTCCAGGGGAAGCAGAGAAGTGACTCCTGAAAACTGTCCCGTGACTGTGACTTCCTCATGCCCACCATGACACTCATGAGCACCCCCTTCTCTAATGATAAATGTCCTCAGGATAGAGCCTTGTGGTACTGGAATGCTCAATCAAGATGCCAAGCTTTGCCTAAAAATCTGGGATGACTACCTGGAGGTGGTGACCTGGAAGAGGAATAGTCATGAAAACCATGCTAACCAAGCCAGAAGACCCCTGGAATACTCCACTGCAGAAGACATAATCCCAGTCCCTTTCATGGTCCAGACCCCAGCACTCCAGCCATGGAATGAGTCTTAGGGTTCCCCTTCCAGAAAAAGCTGCATGGCCTGCTTACCACTCTGAGTTTCTATTAAATTTTTTGAAAGTAGAGAGCAATGCAATAAACACTTATGTGGCCCCAACATCCCGCTTTAACAGGTACAACTCCAGATCAGGGCTGTCGTTTTAAAGCATGTTCCCCAATTCAATAAATTTTCCCCAAAATAGTTTATTACACATGTCTAAAGAATGAACATTCTTTTAAAAGAATGTCCATGCTGGACAGTGGTTAGCCCACGCCTTTAATCTCAGCACCCAGGAGGCAGAGACAGGCAGATCTCTGGGAGTTTGAGGCCAACCTGTCTACAAAGTGAGTTCCAGGACAGGATCCAAAGCTACAAAGAAATCCAGTATTGAAAAACCAACCCCCCTCTCCAAAAAAAGAATGTTCATATAGCTGCCATCCCATAGACAGGATTTAACTGAAGTTCCTTAATGATGCCCAGTATCTTTCCCTTGTGGACCGTTGATTTAATAGTTAAAGGTACTCCTCAGAGGGTGGGGAGACCAGCCTTCAGGCAGACTGTCATGGCCACTGTCCCTCTAACAACACACAAACAAGTACACAGATCTCAGGTGTCTCTCTGGGGCTCTCACAAGCAGTTTGTCCAGTGCTTATCTGTCGTGCACCGAGACCCTGAGTCAACTATGGAAACTGGGCGTGGCAGTTCGAGCCTGCAATCCCACTGCTTCATAGGTAGAAGCAGGAGGATCGGGAGTTTGAAGTCACCCTCCCTCACTATCTGTGTTTGACGAAAGCCTGAGCAACGTGAGACCCTGTCTTAAAAATAAAGAAGGGACGGCATTAACTCCCCTTTATACCCTGATATCCTAACATAACAGGAAAAAAGAAGGAAGTACAAGTCAGGCAGGACACTTATTAGCTGTGTCACTTTTGGACAGGTATATAGCCCCATTGAGACTTTTATTTTATGGTGGGGATAAAAATACCTATCTCCTAAGACTGTTAAGGCTTTGAAAGAGAAGGTTGGAGCTGAGTGGTGCTAGCCCACACCTTTAATCCCAGCACTGGGGATGTAGAAGCAGGCAGATCTCGAGTTGGAGGCCAGCCTGGTCTACAGAATGAGTTACAAGACAGCCAGGACTACACAGAGAAACCTTGTCTTGAAAAAGCAGAATAAAAAGCTAAAAGAAAAAAGAAAAAAAAAGAATTGGGGTGGTGGGCGTGTAGAAGGTCCTCTGAAGCCCATCTTGTTTCACAGGCTCAGTTAATCGGTTGACTCACCATCAAGTCGGTGGTTTATTACCTGCAGGTATTCCGGAAGAATGAAGGGTCAGGCAGTGAGAGTCGGAGCTGGTTCCCCCAGCCTGGAGTGATGCTCACACTCTCCAGCTATACCTGAGTGGCTATGCTCTGCTTGCTTGCTCTGGCCGCTATTAAACAGACAAGTCCCTAGACTGAGGGGTGGGCAGGGCTGGACAAGGGCAGAGATTGGCTTAGGACTAATTTCACCAATTTCTGAGTTCTTTCACTAAAATGAATTAGTAATTTCACTGCTGCTGTTGATAGAGTGCTTATATGTGCCAGGTTCTGTGCCAAGCACTTTCCACCCTCTTAGTCACCTCAATAGTCCCTGGGGCAGGGACTATTCTCAAGATCTAGGTAACCCGGGAGGAGTTATACAGCCAGAACAGTAAGAGTCGCTGGTTCTCACACAGGGTTTTTCTGGTACTTAAACTCTAGGCCTTAAAAAATGCTAGGCTTTGACTTCACACCCCAGATTTAGAGGCTTCTGACCACTACTCAATAAATGTTGCAAACTCCAGCTGGCCATTATGCTAACCTGAAGAGCAATGTGTGGGTTGTAACAGACTATCTCCATAAGGAAAAATGGCCCTAAGCACAGCATCAGCTCCAAGGATGCATACTCTCTCACCCTCTAGTCCTTGACTTGGCCCCATCTGAAGGAATAAGCACATCCCTAGGCAGAGCCAAGGAACTGGGGGACATAAGAGGCATTGCACAGTCTTTACCAAGAGCAGAAATGTTGGAGAATCAGTCCCAGGAGCACAAGAGTCCCTTGGCTGTTCTTCGACCTAAACATCTTGCTCTATTGCTCTATACTTGAATAAGGGCTTCAGTTCTAGGCGTGGTAGACATTGCAGAAGTAGCACACTTACATGGCATGCGAGAGGCTCTGGGTTTGTTTCCCAGGGCTGAAAGCAATTCTGTTTGACCTCATCCTCCAGAAGCCACTGGAGACAAGGCAGCCATTGGGCCCAGAGCCCAGGGATCAGAAGAGAGAACATAACTAAACTCCAGTAGGGTTGGAGTGGGGGGGGGCAGGTCACCAAAGTGTCAAGACCTTGTCTAAGTTTCTTTCCTCTGTTTCCTTTCCTGGGTCACGAGCCCCTTGAAGGAAGGCCTTCCATTTCCCCCATAGTCTAATATTTATCCATTATTATGAAAGCTGTAAAAGAAATAGCCACCTTCCCCACAGGGGAAGAATTCCTGAGTGCCTTGGCTTCCCACACACTCCTCATTTCCTGGTAAAGTCTTGAACATGGGCCCAGGGAATGGCAGGAACAATGCTTCAACTCTCCTGCTGTGTCTCCCTGCTTTCCCATCCCTGCGCTCAGGAGTTGGGTCACGTGCCCCAGGGCATTTTGATCAGCTTGGCTTTCTCTTCTTGAGTGGCTGGAGACTACAAACATCAGTCTATTCTTTTTCCCTCCTCACCAGCACAGGGTAAAGGTGAAGGAAGAAACACGCCAAGAGACCAGGATGCCATCAACTCAACGAAGCATTCTTCAAGGACACCTTTCCCTAATTGATTTTTGAGATGCTGTGTCTTTCCAACATATCCAGATTCTGCTTACAAAGCAAATCAAGGGCAGAGGTTGACAGTGCCAGTTTAATGCATAATAAGCTACTCTGAAGCATTTGGTCCCCAGCCAGTAAGAATTACTCTTCTAAGAAAAGAAGGGTTCTAGTCATGGAGTTAAGGGCCCCAACCCTCCCTCCCCACCCTACTTCCCTCCAGGGTGTGTCACTCACATCTATAGACATCTCCCTCTGGATGAGTTTCTTGGTCTCCTTTTCGCAGAAATTAAGCATGGCTTCCCGGTTGAATGTGCCAGAGGGGGGGTCTGTCCGTTTGATTCCTCTGCCGCAGCCCCACGGGGATGCTCCCATCTGGGTCCACCACGTCCAGCTCCTTCTCCAGTTCTTCCATCTCCTCAGGGGAGAGGGTGGACAGCAGGCTGTCGATGTCAGGGTCTTCACTCACCTGCCGCCGATACTTGGCTACCTTGGACATCTTGGCGCAGTGGGCAGCTGCTCTTGCCAAGTCTGTGGGCGTGCTGGTGGTACGCAGGGAAGGGAGAGGGGGGGCTCTGGTCTGGACAGAGCTGAGTGGGTTTGGATGTGAAGCCGCAGCTAGGTGAGGACTGCAGCTCGTGGCGCCGCTGTGCCACAGGTGCTCAGGGGACACAGCAGCCTCCCTGCAGCCCAAGGCTAGTGGACCCTGCTTGGTGTAACCAGCAACCAATAAGACCTGACAGCTGCCCAGCCCTAGAGGAGAAGCCAATCCCCAAGCCAGGGGGCGGGCCTGCCTCACTGTCAGAGCTGTTTGAAACTTGAGGACATTCCAGGGAATCTTGGAGCGCTGCGTGACCAAATTTAGTACAGAGCAGTTTAGCCTTTTAAAGACAAGGGGCCACGCAATGAGAAAAAGATAGAAAAATGCGAAGACCGGCAGAAGCACGCCAAGCCGCTGGAAGCCAGGGAAGCTGGACCAGGCCTTGAGGTTCACTAACTGGCCAGTCCCTCTCCGAGAGTGGACTTCACTTTTCTATCACTGGGTGGCCGCAGCCACATCTCTACTGTATTTGGTAATGGTTTGGGGGGGACTCCCAGGCATTTACAATTCCAGAAAAGACACTAATTCAAGATGAGGGGGCAGTTCTGATAACCAACCCACCGATACCATTTTCTGCCAAGGAGAACCTGAAAACTACATCGGTCGCTCTGACGTTTTTTTGCCACTTCCTAAGACAATAGGAGAATGGGAGACCTGGAGGAGGGTGCGAGAGTGTGTGTGGGGTGATGTCCTCACTGTGCATACAAACTAAAAATGTTTTGGTGTGTGTGGGGGGGGGGGGGTATTTTTGTTTGTTTTGGTTTTTTGAGACAGGGTTTCTCTGTGTAGGACTGGCTGACCTGGAACTCGATCTGTATGTAGTCCAGGCTGACTTCAAACTCACAGAGATCTGCCTACCTCTGCCTCAGGAGTGCTGGGATTAAAGGCATGTGCCACCAACGCCTGCGTACACACTGAAAATGTGAAGGCTGTTTGAGGAAGAGTTGGGACCTGCATGAATGAGGAAACTCTTAAGAGGCTATCAGTTTCCGAGGCTCCAAGGCTCTCGGAAAGAGGGCTCTAACCTTCCTCGGTGCCCTCTTCTGCAGGAGCATCTGTAGACACCTTTCTCTGTGCTCACTGAGGAGGAGCTGGCAGGCACCACCCACATGTAAATCCAGAGCATAATTTAGCATGCCTTAAGGGAAATGCAATTCTGGGCCACTGGGAGATACTATTGCAACAGGTCTGGCTTGTCATAGAAGGGCTTTCCACTGCTCATCCATCATGCTGCCCTGTGCAAGTCTCAGAGACATTCAATCTCCTGCCCCCCTCCTTCCTGCCACATAATCCCTTCTAGAAGCCCTGGTGTAACCCATCAGGGTAGAAGCTTCGATCTTTCCTGGCATCTCTCCATCCTAAGCCAGAGAGAGGCAGTCACTTGATCAGCGTTTGCTGAGTCCAAGGATCGTCAAGAACTAAAGCAGCCGTGGCATTTGATGCCCGCTAGTTCAGCTTTAGTTTAAGGCTAAGAGAGGGGCTGGTGCCAGCCGGTGGGATTGGTAGAAATGAGGCAAGCAAACCACAAAGGGAGAGCAGAAGAGGGGCTGAGAGAGCCCCGGCCACCATAGTTCAGTCACATACCCATTGGTTAATAGCACCTGCCAGGCTCTGCGATGGGAGCAGGTGATGTAACTGAAGATACCCACCAGGGTGAACCTGCCATCGTGGAGCCCACAGTCAGTAGCAATAAATGCTGTGGTCCACGAACTGTCCAGCACAGCCACAGGACCATGCTTGGTCCCTAGCTGGTTGCTCTGTTGGTGTTCCTGACACTTCTGGAAGTGAGACATCGCTGGAGGAAGTGGATCAACAAGGAAGGGTAAGCTTTTAAAAGTTCTACCTGGTTCCAGGACCTCGTCCTCTCTCTGCTTCCTGGTTGTGGTGAAGTGAGTAGCTCCTGCCACATGCTCTCACTGCCACCACGCTCCACCTCACCACAAGCTTTCCAAAGCAAAGAAGCTGAGAACTGCGGACTGAAGCTGGGAGCCCAGATCAATACCTTTCCCTTCGAGTCTTATAGCAGATTACGTGGTGTGGACGCTAAATAACATGACTGTTACTAAACAAACGATTTCAAAGAAACCATTGGATAATTAAGAGTCTGCAAAATGCCTCAAAGGGTAGGTGTAATATCGGGGTATGGTGGCACACGCCTTTAATTCCAGTATGCAGGAAGCAGAGGCAGTGGATCTCTGAGTTCGAGGCCAGCCTGGTCTAGCCGGTGATTTCCAGGACAGCCGGGGCTACACAGAGAAACCCCATTTCAGAAAAGGGGAGAGGGGACTACAATAGAATAGGCACATAGCAATACGGTTAAACAAGAGCTTACTCTCTTTAGGCTGAGAGATTCGCATCAGGTCCTGTTATTGTCACCTACTAACCATGCGACTCTTGAGCAAATGTCCACCTCCTTGAGATGAGGCTTCTCTAGCTGTAAAATAAGAACAGCAGCAGCAGCTGCTGCCTTGTATTGGTTACCCTTCCATCACTGTGACAAAATGCCTGGCAGGAGAGCTTGGTGGGGGAGGTATGATAGAGTTCACGGCAGTGGCAGGGGCTCTCCTCTGCCCCTTACTCTCACCTCTGTGGTATGTGTGTGCAATCTTTAAAATTCAAGAAGATGCTGTGTCATTTAATGGAGATTTTTTTGTTTGTTTGTTTGTTTTCTGAGACAGGGTTTCTCTGTGGCTTTGGAGGCTGTCCTGGAATAATGGAGTTTTAAAAAATTCTATACAAGGCAAATAAAATGAACCTGAAATTGTAAGATACAGGGAAACATTAATCTGAAACATGGTAAGCACAATATTCATTGACAGTTATTATAGCTACTTGTATTTGCCTTCTTTTTAAAAATTTATTTCTGCCAGGCGGTGGTGGCACATGCCTTTAATCCCAGCACTTGGGAAGCAGAGGCAGGTGGATCTCTGTGAGTTCAAGGCCGGGCTGGACCGATAGCCTCCAAAACAATACAGAGAAACCCTGTCTCGTAAAAACCAAAAAAAATTTTTTTATTTCTATTTTATATTTTGCCTGTATTATGTATGTGCACCACACTTGTGCCTGGTCCCTGCAACTGGAGTTACAGAGTTGTGAGGCACGTTATGGTTGCTGGGAACTGAACCAGGGTCCTCTGGAGAACAGCCAGTGCTGTTGACCTCTGAGCCATCGCTCCAGCAATGTATTCAAGTTCTTTCTTTGTAACAGTGGGACTAGAATCTGTCTCGAACTCGGGACTTTGCATCTACTAGGTAAGCTTTCTATCATTGAGATATACTCTTAGCACGTTTTTAACAGTGTGTGTGTGTGTGTGTGTGTGTGTGTGTGTGTGTGTGTGTGTGGTGGTAGCTTTCTTGCTTGCTTGTTTTTGAGACATGATCTCACTATATAGCCTTGGAACTCACTGTGTAGACCAGGCTGGCCTCAAATATCAGAGACCCACCTGCCTCTGTCTCCTGAGGATTACAGTCTTGCACTATCACATTTGATGTACATCATTTATTTATTTGTTTATTTTGAGAAGGTCTCACTGTGTAGCTCTGGCTAGCTAGTAACTATGTAGATCAGGCTGACCTTGAACTCACAGAGACCCTCCTGCCTCTACCTCTGAGATGCTGGGATTATAGGAGAGTACTACCCTAACTAGATTTTTTTTGTTTTCAATTACCTTTTCTTTCTAAAGGATTCATTTTATTTTCAATTATGTGTATGTGTATGTACACATGAATGCAGTGCCCATAGTGGTCAGAGGTGTGGGATCCACTGGATCTGAAGTTAGAGTAGCAATGAGCCACCCAGTGCTGGGAACTGAACTCAGGTCCTTTGCAAGAACAACACGAGCTCTTTGCCACTGGGCCATCACGCAAGCTGTCTTTTCCCTTTTTATTTTGAATTGATCTCACTAAGTTGCCCAGATTGGCCTTGAGTCATTCCATGGCCCAGACAAGCCCTGAGTTTGTGATCCTTCTGCTTTAGCCTCTTGAGAAGTTGGAACTCCAAGTTGAATACAACACCAAGCTTGTGTTACCATGCTTATGCTTGCTCTGGGTTCTTTTTTCTCTAGCCTACCACTTTTCTCTTTTGTTCTTTTTCCTTCAGCTATTAACTACCCTTAATAAACACACACATATTCCCTCTTGCCTGATTCTCACTGAAAAGTATTGGATCCCTGCTTATGGGGTATCCTCCGCCAATTCAATAAGCCAATCGAGCCGAATTATTATTAAGTCTAGGGTCAGTAAACAGAGGGAAGCAACTCCCGGGTGACTCTCAGAAAGGCAGGAAAGAAAAATCATGTGGTGGGTCTTGTGCCAGGTCTTAAATGCTGTGTAGGCATGGTCTTGGGCAGCCCCGGGGTAGGAGCTGACCCTTGAATGACTTTCTGGGCAGAGTCTGGAGAGGGCAGCCCCAGGGAGCTGCTGCCTGGCATGCTGAGGACACTCATTCATTCATTCATTCATTCACTCATTCAATAATTTATATATGGTACCTTATCGGGTATTGTGTAAAGAGAGATACAAAGATAATTATAACATTATTCTACATGCCTTTAATCCCAGCACTGGGGAAGGCAGGGGCGGGCAGATCTCTGTGAGTTTGAGTCCAGCCTGGTCTACAGATGAGTTCCATGACAGCCAAGGACTGGTAACCTTGCCTCACCTAAAACAAAACAAAACAAAAATTCCACTGTAAGGAAAAATACCAAGAGGCAAAAGGAGCTGCTAAGAGTGAGCAGAAGATACACTAAGCACGTGGAAAGGCGTCACTGGGGACATTCCAGGGGGAACAGCAAAGACACAGGTGGGATGGAGTAGTTTCCAGCTAAGCATGTTGGTAGGCATGGTGTTCCTTGCTCTTACCAAACTCCTCTCTTCTTCCTGCCCTCCTTTTTTTTTCTTATCTCATTATGCATCCTTGGCTGGCCAGGAACTCATGTAGACCCTGCTGGCCTGGAACTCATAGAGATCTCTGCCTCCCGAGTGCTGGGATTAATCTTTAAAGATGTGTGTCAGCATGCCCAGCCCTCCACTAAGTCTCTTGTTCTCCCTGACATCCCCTCAAATCAGTCTTCATTCTCACTGTTGCCCAGAACAGTATCTTCTGAAGTCGGGTGCAATGGAGC